TTTTTATACATAAAAATGTTGTGTTTTTTTAAAAAAATATTTACACATTAGACGCCCCCTCCCCCCCCCCCCCCCCCCCCCCCCAAATCTGGTTCTCTACACGTCATTAAGTTTAAATGGAGCCATAGTTGCATAAAAACATTTGTTCAAGTCAAACTTACTGTTTGTAAAGATTAGTGGTGTGGGTGAAAGGTGTACATATCAATCCTTAAACAAAGCAGATTGCTTTTTGATTTAAAATAAATTCTTTGCTGAAACGTCTTGTGGTTTGTGTGCAGTTACACCAGAGGTGATTTTTATTAAACCATGTCTTTCTTAAGCAGTCCAGGTGTCCCTGAGAACGTGATGTGGAGCACGTCTTCAGTCCGGTTTGACACTCTGTACACGTTGGCGGTAGCGGCTCCCGTCGTAATCGCCTTCGTTTGATTGTCTCATCCTCTGTCGAATCTTCAGCTGCTTCAGGCGGTTTTTGTCCACCTGCCTCTTGACCAGAAAGAAGCTCATTATTCCCGCAGGTAGTCCAATCATCCTGAACAAAGACAGGAAGAAAATCCCAGATACTTAGATGTAACTGAAATTATTTCAGATCTGTCCCAAAGCACCATGTCAGTTCTGTGATAGGCAGAGTTATCTGGTGGGAGATTTGCTGCCTTTTCTTGTGCAAGCAAGAGACAAAAACATTTCTGAATCAACAAAAGCTGATAATTTCCTGAGCCACTTCATTCATTTTTAAACCTCAGATTTTCTGCTGCTTGGGTTTCTCAGCCCTGCACACTCACTTTGTTATGAAGCCTGTTAATCTGATAATCCAGGTTGTCTACCTTTAAATAAGCAGAAGACAGATGACCAATCAGAAATCAAGAGAGGCACATTTCTAACAAAACTACAGTAAGATATCAAAATAACGGGCTGGAAACACTGCTGCAGCCAAAACAGGCAGGAAATTGTTTGAAAATGACTCGAGCACATGAAGCTGGTCAGTGTTGCATCACAGCACAAACATCTGCTCCTTTAGAAATGCTTCATTAACACGCAGCAGGTTAGTTTTACTCTTATCCTTTCATATAACTGTTGCAAATGTTTGTAGTTTACAGCAAATAAAAAGCAGGAAATGTCCAGACAGTTTTAAGATCAGATGATTACAATCTTAAAACGCCTCCTTTAGTTTTCTACGGCCTCGTCTAATAGACCAGCAAGAAATCGTTCCAACACATTTAGGTGTTCAAAGTTTAAACAGCCTTTTATTATTCATTAGTTTATTTATTTATTAGACTCCCGTGGGAGAACTTTGCTTTTGATAAAAAGGTCTGTTGCACTAAACACATTCATATGAAAGTCACGTAAACTACATTAAAACAGACGACCCTTCCTAGCATACATGCACTGTTTCCTACATAAAGTCCATCCTGTTGATGAGTTTCAGAGATAAATGAGTTCCTGTATTTACATGAAGGAGGCCTGCACCTTTCGGAGTTCAGCAAAACATTCAGAGTGCAGCACATGAGGCGTCTGAGCAGACGACCCTCAGACAGACAGGCCATTTGCTCAAACAGGTCCTTAGAGGTGCAGCTGTATCCATGATTTGACCCGTTGTCTTCAGCAGATTTAATGTCGGAGCCTTGGAACCTTTGATTTTATGGTCCGATCACTAAACCATCTTAACACTGACTGGGTGCACTGTAAACAAAAACTAAATATTTTTGCAGACTCCAAACACTCAGAAAATGCAGACGCTGGTGTTTCGGGCACAAGCACTTCCCACTTGTGTGTGCCAGGACAAGTCATTGGATATCCAATTCCTGGATAAAATAACACTTCCTAAACTATCAGATAGTCAAACAATGGAGCTGGATTCACCACTGACACCAGTGGAACTCCAGGAAGCCCTCAAAAGCATGTCCAATAAAAAGGCTCCAGGTCCAGATGGATTCCCAGCAGAATTCTATAAAGAATTCTGGAATATCCTGGCACCACTATTTCACAAAATGCTACAAGAAACTGAGAAAAGTAACAGTCTTCCAAAAAATATAAATTCTGCTAACATTAGTCTCCTGTTAAAACCAGGCAAAGATCCTGTATTACCTACCAGTTATCGTCCAATATCTCTTATCAACGTTGATCTTAAAATAATTTGTAAAGCCCTCTCAAAAAGATTAGAAAAGGTAACTCCTCTAATAATACATCCAGACCAAACTGGTTTTATAAAAGGGAGACATTCATCCACAAATTCACGCAGATTATTTAATTTAATAGATTATTCTTACAGTAAAAATATTGAAACTGCAATATTCTCTCTAGATGCAGAAAAAGCCTTCGATAGAGTTAACTGGAAATTTTTATTTGCAGCCTTACATAAATTTGGTTTTGGAAATTATTTCATAAACTGGTTAAAAATATTATACACTTCCCCATCAGCAAGCATTAGGACAAACAATCAAATATCTGCTAGTTTTGCTCTGCAAAGGGGAACCAGGCAGGGATGTCCACTCTCCCCCTCACTGTTTGCTATTTTCATCGAACCGCTAGCCGCAGCAATCAGGCAAACTACAGATATTAAAGGCATAAAATGCAAGAACAGAGAGCACAAAATCAGTCTATATGCTGATGATGTGCTGCTCTTCCTCCGGCATTCACAAACCTCCATCTCTCAGGTTATTGGACTGATAAACTCCTTCTCAAAAGTGTCAGATTACTCTATAAACTGGCTAAAATCCACAGTTCTACCAATTAATTGCTCTTTCAACAATTCACTTACTACACAACTGCAATCGGGGAATATTACATATTTGGGTATCAAAGTTTCGCCTAAATTAGCAGATTTAACAAAACTAAACCACACCCCACTTTTAAAGAAAATTGAGGATGATCTGGCTAGATGGAAATCTTTACCCATATCTCTCATGGGAAGGATCGCATCAATAAAAATGATGGTTTTGCCTAGAATAAATTATTTATTCTCAATGATCCCAAATAAATCATCTGACTGGTTTAGATCCCTGGACTCCTCTATTTCTAAATTTCTGTGAAAAGATAAACGCCCTCGTATTAGATTAAAAACACTACAGAAATCCAAAGATAAAGGAGGACTAGAACTACCCAACTTTTATTATTATTTTCTAGCCAACAGGCTAGAATACATCTCAAAATGGATAAAACACACACCCCTTGATGAACCCTGGCTAGACGTAGAACAGACACTTTGCAATAATATAATGATCTCGGACCTTCCATTCATTAGCTCAAACATAAAACGACAGGAATGCTTTAAAAGCATCAATATCAGCTCCTCTCTGACAGCTTGGTGGGAGTTTCTTAAAATGACAGAGTCTTCACTAATCCCATGTAAACGTACACCCATCTGGAACAACCCTGACATCCTACAACAGAATAAGATGATAAACTTCCCAGGTTGGAGGTGTAAAGGAATTGAATATTTGGAACATATATATGAAGACGTGGACTACATCCCATTTAACAGATTAATTACACAATATAGGATTGATAAGAATAAATTTTTAGAATATCAACAAATTAAATCTATAACCAAAAATAAATTTAACCTTAATAACACTAGGATTGAAATGTCAACAAGTGTATTAGAATTCCTTAATCTTAACCCTCCCAAATTACTATCTAAGGTTTATCAGAAACTCAGTAAAATAGGTGAATCTATATCTCTTCCCATTGTAAAATGGGAGACAGACTTGTCAGTTAATTTTGACCAAAACTTTTGGTCGCAGATCTGTCTGAGAACTTTTAAGATGACTAAAAACTCGAATTTACAACTAATACAATACAAAATCCTTCATAGAGTACACTATACAGGTCAACGGATGTTCAAGATGGGTTTCGCATCATCTAATATTTGCTCACAGTGTACAGACAATATTCCGGACAATTACATCCACGCATTTTGGTTCTGTCCACCTGTTCAGAGGTTTTGGTGCCGGATATGTGAAGACTTATCAAAGTGTCTGAGATGTAATATTCCACTCTCTCCGTCAGTTTGCTTATTGGGCCACTTAGATGATGTCCACTTGGAGACAAAATCAATTCATATTATTCTCACTGCCCTATGTATAGCAAAAAAAACTATACTCATGAATTGGAAAAATAAAAACACAAAGTATTAAACAGTATAAAGACCTTCTGTTAGATTACATCAGTCTTGAGACAGCCTGTACCCCCACATCGGACTATTCTCTCTGGACTTCTTTAATCAGCTCCAACACGTAGTGGAGGTGGGTGGTCCCCTTTGATTCTGTCCCGTGGGGCATGGTGGTCGTGTGGGTGGGGTGTCGGGGCTGGGGACGTTGGGGGGGGGGGGGGGGGGGGGTCATGGGCCTGGAGCGGTGGCGCCCGACTGGGGAGGTGGCTCTGGTGGTTCTGGGTGATGGCCTGTGCTGGCTGCATGCGGGCTTCTGGGCGGTCTGTACCGGCGGACATGGGTTACTGGCCTGGTGACCTGGCTGTCCCTGGGTGGGTCTGGGGTGGACGCGGGCGCGGGTTCTGGGGTGGTATTGCTCCTGGGCAGGGTTCCCGGCTTGGTCCGGGGATCTCAGGCCTTGACAGGTATGTTGCCGGGGTCTTGGGCCGGCGGGTGCACCGGCGCCCAGCCCTGGCCTTGGGGCCTTCGGTGCGTTGGTGGGCTTTGGGGCCTGTGCCGTGGGGGGGTGGGACTGAGGAGTGGGGGGGGGGTCTGAGGGAAGGGACCGGCGGGCTCAGCCTGGGCATCCTCTTGCCTGGCGGTGGCCGCGACGTGGTGCTTGGCTGGGGGGCTGGGCTGTGGGGGGCTGTGACTGGGGTGGGGTATATTGGGGGCTCTCGTGTGGGGGGCTCTGTGCTGTGGGACCGGGGGAGTCTGGGCTCGCTGGGTGTGTGCCCTCACTTGCATGGGACACTCTCGCTGTGGGTGTTGTTATGGGTGGACTGGTCTTTTGCTTTTTTGGGGTGGGGAGGGCGCTCTTGGTTGCTGTGGTGCTCTATTTCTGACTGTTTGGGCACTCCTGGCTGATTGTCCCAGTTGGGGTTTGGTGGCCTCTCTGGTTGGGGGGCTGGGTGTTGGGCTGGGAATCGGGTTGGGGCGTCTGGACGGTTTCGGGATGGGTCTGGGTTGCTGGCCCTGGTTCTGGTTGGTCCTCGGGGACTATGTGCCGGTCCGTGGCCTTGATCCCTGGTGGTGCGGCTGCCACCTCCTCCTAGGTATCTCTGTTAGAGCCTCTGTCCCCTGGTGGATCTCGGAGAGTGGGGGGTGCCTATTGGGGTCAGTGGGGGAGCTGGTCCCCTGGGGGGGCATTGCCACCTCAGTTCACCTCCCCATCCCGACGTCCTCCTCCGCCCACTCCACCACACCACCACTCAAACAGGGTTTTGGGGTTCAGGTGCACTACTGAGCTACGGGAAGAATCATCCATCTCCGTGGCTGGTGGGGTCCTGGGCCCTAATTTTAATATACAACTTAGACACTCACTTATAACACTCTCACGACACATGCATATATAGGATCTGGAGTGGGCACATGATCGCACT